AAAAAAATCATCGTGAGCTAACACTACTCCGGCTTATAGAGCCTGTGTGCGTTTGGGTAACTCTTTTAAATATGGACAATTTAATGACTTAAATACAAATGGATGACTGTATCACTAACTTTGTATCACTGGACAAATAGCATGGCAAGTGCCATGTCCTCAGCATGCAAAACCGAAGCAGTATTTCCCATATCGAGCTTAATATTTTAAAAGAGCTTTTGTAAGTTTAGAATGTGGAAGTTGTCAGGTGCGTGGTGTTGTAATGCAGCCCTTATTGAGAGCATTTGTTTTGATGTTTGTAATTGATCTGTTGAGCGAACGTTGTCATCTTATCTTAATAATGTGGCAAGACTTCCGTCCACAGAGACGCAAACACAGGGAAGTGCTCTTACGCCAAAAGCAGGATCAAGTATTACATAGCACACACGTATAAGAAAGATGTTTTTGTCTGGGCCTGCCAGGGCAGGGATTGTGTTTAACCCTTGTTTCATCTGATCTGGATTAAAGTAATACATCAAGTTCTTCCTTTTTCCCCCCTCACTGTTCTCGTCACATAGACAGTAGGAGATTTTTCCCTGCACAGATGCCTGCCCATGGCTGCCATGTCTTGGCAGGGGGGAAATTGCTTTTGTCCAAGACAAAGAGAGTGGAACAATTTTTAATGTATGCATCTCATTCTGTTTTTCTCCTCTAAGCGTCGGTGAGACAGTAACTTGAACAAAACTATGCATGTCTTTGTGAAGTGAGACTACGCAGGTGGTTGGAGTGTTGGCAGAGTTAAGAAAACTTTTACATCTGCAGAAAAGGGATGGCTTTGCTTCCATGCTACTCATTTGGGGGTTGGGTGGTGGATTATTTTTTGTTTTGTTTTGTTTTGTTTTTCTGTTAAACCTCTGTACAGTAAGGATTAGCAGCTTGACCTCCCAGTTCTTCAGCTTTAATATTCACAAAGGCTTGTAGATGATGTGTTAGCTACATTTTGTCAAGAGGATGTAACAATTGCAAGGGTGTTTCAGCTTCCTTTGGAGTCCTTCATAGTTTCCAGTTTAAGACTTAGGTGTAACTTTCAACTGTTACTTTTGGCTGAGGTTCCTGCCTTATGTACCTAACGCATCTATGTAATTCACAGACTTCAGAAAAGGCTGTTATACTAAAAACCAGTTTTCTTTATTTACACTGTGGGTGTTTTTGTGACTTTGCTGTTCCCATTGCTGTAGTATATGGGATATCATAGAATCATTTAGGTTGGAAAAGACCTTTAAACTCATCAAGTCCAACGGTAAACCTAACACTGCCAAGTCCACCAGGAAAACATGTCCCTAAGTGCCACATCTACATGAAATAGAATTCCTTAGTGAAATAGAGCAAGTAACACTGTGATTGGTTTTGGTAGATGGGGAAACAGGGCCTCAAGAAGCATTTAAAAACATCACCCAGGCAGTTTGTGCTGAAATCTGGGGAGGAATTGAGGTCTTTCCCAGGTCATGTGCCCTGTTTGTATTTCTGGTTATACTAATAGTCCTTAGTATTTATATCCCGACCTACTCTTTGTGGAAGTTCGAGGGTATAGGGCCTGTGGGGCTGGTTACAGGGCCTGTGGGGCAGGCTATAGGGCTTGTGTGGCCACCTGTATGGCCTGTGGGGCCAGGGGTGTATCCAGGGTGTGTAGGGCTGGCTGTGAGGTCTATAGAGCCTGTGGGGCTGGCTATAGGGTTTCTGGGGCTGGTTATAGGGTCTGTGGGGCTGGTTATAGGGTTTGTGGGGCTGGTTATAGGGTCTGTGAGGCTGGCTATAGGGCCTGTGGGGCCAGGGGTGTATCCAGGGTGTGTAGGGCTGGCTCTGAGGTCTCCAGGGTGTGTGGGGCTGGCTATGAGGGATATAGGGCCTGTGGGGCAGGCTATAGGGCCTTTGGGGCTGGGGGTGTATCCAGGATGTGTAGGGCTGGCTATGAGGTCTATAGGGCCTGTGGGGCTGGCTATAGGGGCTGTGGGGTCAGGGGTGTATCCGGGATGTGTGGGGCTGGCTATGAAGGGTATAGGGCCCGTGGGGCTAGGCCTAGGGCCTGTGGGGCTGGGGGTGTATCCAGGGTGTGTAGGGCTGGCTATGAGTGGTATAGGGCCTGTGGGGCAGGCTATAGGGCCTGTGGGGCTGGGTGTAGGGCTTATGGGGCTGGGCTTAAGGCTTGTGGGGCCAGGCTTAGGGCTTGTGGGGCTGGTTATAGGGCCTGTGGGGCCAGGGGTGGATCCAGAGTGT